GTCCTAGGTAAACACATGGGTCAAGATGCCCGGGTAGCCGCACTGGCCAGTAGTGGCTTCCAGTTACCAGTTGATATGTTAGGAAGTCAGGGTTTGGCCAATCCGAGCAACTACCTGCAGTAACGGGGACTCCAAAGCCCTGGAATGTTGCTTCTTTCATACCACAAGTTTTGAAACGATAAAAGCAACACTTGTTTTAGAGGGGGAAAAAATTCACTTAAATCCCTGGAGGAGGGATTAATGCAGCTATTGAGAGGCACCTATGGGTGGCCGGGTGCAGACGTGGGATAATACGGCGTGTGCGGACCGCCGTGAGAAAGGGCCCCTGTCCCCAGCCCGGCCGGCTCCCCCTCGGGCCCTGGCCACAGTGCGCCTGCGCCCTCCGCCCGGCCCCTCGCTCTCTGCCCCCAGAGCCCCATGACCGCGATTCTCCTTCACTCCCAGGCTTTAAAAGAAGCACTTAGAAACCGCAACAATGCGTTTTTTCCTCTCCTTTTCGAAAAGGAGACAAGAAATGCTTCTGGGGACAGAGGACACTTTTTCAGTGACCCTTTGCTAACTAACCAAAGAATCCCACTGAATTCCACAAACGGTTACTCAACCGGGAAAACGGACCCAAACACGATGGGAAAAGGTATCTGTGCTGACCCCTAATGCTCAGCATGGTGTGTGGGGTGGTGGGACTTGCTAGGGGCCTATGGGGGCCACCCCTCCGAATTCCTATGTTGGAGTCCGTTAGGTACCTTAGAATGGGACTGCATTTGCAGATGGGGCCTTAGAGGGTTAGTTATGTTAAAATGGGGTCCTTCTCTTGAGTCTGGATCCGATAGGACTGCTGTCCCTTATGAGAAGAGGAGATTGGGACAGAGATTGGGACGGAGATTGGGACAGAGACGGAGACACGCAGACCTCTCTTGTGCAGAGAGGAAAGACCATGTGAGGATGCCTGGAAGGAGCAGCCATCTACGAGCCAAGAAACCAGCCCTGATGACACCTTGATGTTGAACTTCCAGCCTCCAGAACAGCGAGGGAACACATTTCTGTTGTTTAAGCCCCCCAGTCTGTCATCCTTTGTAATGGCGGCCCCAACGGACTAATACAGTCCTTAAAAAGCCAGACTGTTATACTTCTTCCAACACAGAACAGACACACTGTTCTGCCCTCACAGCAGCCCGTGCCAAAACTCTGGGGTTCGGGGCGCCTGGGTGGCTCATCGGTCAAGCATCTGCCTTTGGCTCAGGTCATGATCCCAGGGTCCTGGGATCAAGTCCTGCGTCAGGCTCCCTGCTCAGCGGGGAGTCTGTTTCTTCTGCTTTCCCTTCCCCAGCTCGTTCTCACTCTCTCTCTACCTCAAACAAATAATCTTAAAAAACCAAAAACTCTGGGGTTCCAGCCTGATCCTGCCACATGCTCAGCACTTCCCTTCCAGCCCTGCACCCCCCCATTTCCATTTCCATTCCTGCTTTCCCTGCTTGCCTCTCTCCTCACTGTGCACCTCTGAAGCGGCATGTCCCTAATCAGTGCACATTCCTTGCCTTCCAAAAAAAGTGGAAAAGACCACGGCCCTGGACACACGAAGGGGGGGCCACCAGACCCTCTGGGAAGGGAGGACGCTGGGTCCAGAAAAGAAACGAGACCTTCCAACAGAGATTGCTGCGAACACCTCCAAAACTGGTTGGTCTTCTGCCTCAAATACCATGTGATAAGTGTCATAGGCATGGGCTGCGTGTGTCAGCTCTGAAAAACGGAGTGACAGATTCTGTTCGGGAGGTGGGGCAGCAAGGGCTAGGGAAATCATCAGAGGCCTCCCTCTGGGAGAATCACTCATTAGCGCTCTGACCTGGGGCAAGTTACTCAATCTCTTTATCTTTTGCACGGAGGTTATAGAACATGTTTTGGAAAGTTGATGTGAATATGAAATGAAAAGTCGAATCAGAGACCGCATAATGTAAAGCCTCACACATCGCAGGTGATGAGTAGCCATGAGGAAGAAGAGGGTCCCTGACTTTGAATGGGGAGCAGGATCACGCTGGACACAGAGAACTGGGACACAAGAAGGTGTTGGAGGCAGAGGGTCAAGGAGAGAAAAGCCTGGCAGGGGGAGCCCTGGGTCATCTTGTGTAGATGGGGAACAGGAGAAGTATGGGAGCATTGGGGGAAATCAGAAAGGCAGGACGGGTCTTCAGTGCCAGATGAAATCAATGTTCTTTATCTTATATTTAGTGGAGAGACTTTTCCAAAGAGTGAGTGACAGAAGGGTGGAAACCAGAGGTGGAGGGACCAGTGAGAAAGCTGTTGCCATCATCAGAAGGTGGGGGTGTGAGCTGGGGCAAGGGCAGGAGCCGAGTCATTTCCAAGGTTGGATCTACCCACAATTGCAGCTTGGACATTTATTTGATGAGGAGTAAAGGCGGGGTGGGGGGGGGGATAGTCCAAGCTGCCTCCCATTTTTCTAGCCTGAGCACTGTCTCTCTAGGTGGGAAGGCCAGAAAGTGACCTGGGAAACAAAAGAGGTTATTGGGTGGAGGTGCCTGGCTGGCTCAGTCGGTAGAGCATGCAACTCTTGATCTTGGGGTTGTGAGTTCGAGCCCCACGTTGGGTAGACAGATTATCCAAAAATAAAATCTTAATTAAAAAAAAAAGAAGTTATTGGAATTTGTTGGTGGTTGTTTGGGGAAGGTGGTGGAGCAGATGCAATGAGATTGTGGACATGTTAATTTCATGAAGCTTTTTGGGTATCTGGGGAGAGATGTGTAGCAAGCTTCTCAAAAACGAGTCTGGCTTTCTGTAGGTGAGTCAGGGATCTGTAGGTGTCTCTAACGTCGGCCGAGTGCTGGCCTAAGTTCTTTACTGTATGGAGTCACCCCATCCTCATAACGCCCCACGAGATGGACAATATTATGAGCCTCGTTTTACCAATGAGGGCTGTGATGGACTGAATTGGGCCGCCCTCCCCCAATTCATAGGTTGAAGCTCTCAGCCCCCAATGCACCTGTATTTGGAGATAAGGCATTTAGGAGGTAATTTGGGTTAAATGAGGTCATAAGGGTGGGGGGCAATCCAATAGGGCTAGTGTCCTTATGAGAAAAGGAAGAGTCACCCGAGTTCTCTCTCAGCATGCGCACAGAGGAAGGGCCCGCTGAGGTCACAGCAAGAAGACAACCATCTGCAAGCCAGGAAGAGAGTTCCCTGATGGCACCTTGATCTTGAACTTCTAGTCTCCAGTACAGTAAGAAAATTAATTTCTTGGGGCACCTGGGTGGCTCAGACGTTAAGCATCTGCCTTCGGCTCAGATCATGATCCCAGGGTCCTGGGATCAAGTTCCGCATCTGGCTCCCTGCTCAGTGGAGAGCCTTCTTCTCTCTCTCTCTCTCTCTCTCTCCCTCTGCCGCTCCCCCTGCTGGTGTGCTCTCTCTCTCTCTGTCAAATAAATAAATAAAATCTTAAAAAAAAAAAAGAAAATTAATTTCTTTATTCTAAATTAACATAAATGTTGAAGCCACCCAGCGTGTAGTATGCTGTTAGAACAACCTGAGCTAATACAAGGGCAATGAAACACAGAGACGTTACCTAAACTTCCTCCAAGTCACACAGCTGGGAAGGAACCGAGGCGAGATCTGACTTGGGGCAGAGTCCTTGCTTTTTTTTTTTTTTTTTTTTTTTTAAAGATTTTTTATTTATTTATTTGAGAGAGAGAGAATGAGAGAGAGCAAGCACATGAGAGGGGGGAGGGTCAGAGGGAGAAGCAGACTCCCTGCCGAGCAGGGAGCCCGATGCGGGACTCGATCCCGGGACTCCAGGATCATGACGTGAGCTGAAGGCAGTCGCTTAACCAACTGAGCCACCCAGGCGCCCCCAGAGTCCTTGCTTTTAACCACTGTCCTCTCTGCCTTTCACTACCGCTTCTGTAGAAAAGTGCGTGTGTGTGCGTGTGTGTCTGTGTGTGGAGGGGCGGAATCTCCGCGCGGATAGAGAGAAATTGGGCTGCCCCCTTCTTCCCAGAAGACAGGCTGATTTCTGTGGTTCCCGTGCACCAGCGTGCTTCCTGTGAAGAGCAGAGGCTTTTAAGCCTAGCGATTGTTTTGCTGAGGCAGCATGGCTACGTTCCAACCTCTTCCATACCCTTCCGTCCGACGGGGTGCGGGAGGGGAGAGGAACGGCTCTTGCCACTTGCGTAGAATCGTAGAATCGAGAATCAAGGGATGGTGGGAGGCAGGTGGAGCGAGTGGGCTCTGGCATGTTCGGGCCACGTGCCGGGGGGAGTGGTAAAGAGGCAGCCCTGACCGGCCCTGGCCTCCCTGGGTGTGGGAGCCAAGGGAGAGGGGCAGGGGCACGGCCCAGGGATGGACGTGGTCCTCGGCCATGGCAGAGCCCCGTATGGTGGCAGGCGGGAGCCACGCTCACCGCCAACACAGCAGAGCGCACAGACCGGTGGGGTCCCTGCCTCGCGCACCTGAAATGAACACAGCGGGTGCGTCCGCTCTACTTTAATCAAAAGAGAGAGGGGGGGTCCACGAGGCTAAGACCGGTAGAGCGTCTCGGAGCCCCCCTAGCATGCGTAGCTATGGTGTGCAGAAGAGCTTTTGTTCTTTCCCGGGTCGATGAATTAATAATCGGGCGAGGGTGGGCGGAGGCAGAAAAAAATCAAATCAAATTGGTTGGCCTTTTTTTTTTTTTTTTTAAGATTTTATTTATTTGACAGAGAGAGAGAGAACAGAGGCCGGGGGAGTGGGAGAGGGAGAAGCAGGCTTCCTACTGAGCAGGGAGCCCGATGCAGGGCTCGATCCCAGGACCCTGGGATCGTGACCTCAGCCAAAGGCAGACGCCTAATGACTAAGCCACCCAGACGCCCCTCAAATTGGTTTTCTTTCGGAGACCGTGGATACCTTCCCAGTCGTTGTTTTTGATTTCCAGCTCTTTTCCCTTAAAACACGTTTTGAGGGATAATTTTTTTTTTTTTTTTGTGGTTGTTTGTCCCTTTGCCTTGAAGTTTCTGAAATATTCCACGGCGCCGTCCTTGCCAATTCTGCAGAGTGTTGCTGTTGCTCGGAGCCTGTTCGCAGCCAAGTGGGAGAGTTTCTCCACAAACTGCCGTTTCAGGGAAAACACAGAAAATAAAATGCAACCAAGCACATTACACAGAGGATGGAGTCCTAAGTTCCCTGACTGTGATGCGGCCGGCCTTGTCCGGCCCTGCCTCCTTGACCTGGGCTTTCTCGGCGCTGGTTGCACATAGGAGTCGGCATGTTGAGGCCTCCCCGGTCTTCTCTCTGCGGTTGAAGAAGGCTTGTCAGGGCTGGGAAAATGTCCTGGCTCCCCAAGCCTTTTCTGGACCCTCTTTCACCCCGCTCCCACCTGTCCTCAGGTAAGAAAGCCCTGGCTCAACTAATTCTTTTACTAGGAAATCTTTTTTTTTTTTTTTTTAAGATTTTATTTATTTTTATTTATTTGAGAGAGAGAGAGAGAGAGAGAGAGTGAGCATGAGCAGGGGGAGGGGCAGAGGGAGAAGCAGACTCCACGCTGAGAGCAAAGCCCGACGTGGGGCTCCATCTCATGACCCTGAGATCAGGACCTAGCCAAAATCAAAAGTGGGATGCTTCACAGACTGAGACACCCAGGTGCCCCAGGAGGGTTTTTTAAAAAAATATTGTTCCTCTCAGGTGGCTCTCATTTTCAAAGAGGGCTGATGTGTTTCCCAAGTTTGATGGGAGGATGAGTTACCTGGGGATTTTATTAAGATGTAGATCCAGATTTGGTGTGTCTGAGATGGGGCCTGGGACCGTGCATTTCTGACAGCAGCCGAGAATGCTGCTGCTGGTTTGTAGACTTGGCTTTGAGGTGCCGGGTGTAGAGAAACCCTGAAGGTTGAATGGTTGTAGGGAACACTATTGGGATATGTGTTAGTCAAGGTTCTCTAGGAGAAACAAATCAATAGGAGATCTTTACATATACAGAGAGAGAAAAAGAGAGAGCAAGGTGTATGGGGAGGAGGTTTATTATAGGAATTAGTTCATGTGATTACAGAGACTAACAAGTCACACGCTCTGTCATCTGCAAGCTGGAGGCCCGGGAGAACTGACGGTGTAAGTTTCTGTCTGAAGGCCAGCAGGCTCAGGCCCAGGGAGACCTGAAGTTTCCATTTGAGTCTGAAGGCACGAAAAGACCAATGTCCTAGCTTATACAGTCAGGCAAGAGGAAAGCCTCCTTATAGGAGGGTCATCCGTATGGTTCTAGTCAGGCTTTCAACTGATTGGATGAGGCCCACCCACATGAAACAGAGCAATCTGCTTTACTCAATCTACTGATTCAAATATTAATCTCATGCAAAACACCCTCATGGACACATTCAGAATAAGGTTTGCCCAAATGTCTGGGCACTCTGTGGCCCAGTCAGGTTGACTCATAAGATGAAGCTCTATAAGATGGGAGGGTGAATCCTCCCTTGGGGGTCTTCATGGCTCCTTTGCTTATCTTCTTGGAAGTCTTCGGTCAGAAGATCCAGATGTGTCCCCTTGTCAGCTGGATGTTTGTTGCCGCACCGGATCTCCACGCTCTCAAGGGCAACTCTCTACGTAACACCTGGGCTTGACCCATGCATTCTGGCATAGAAACAACAGATGACACTTTACATTTATGTTGAACTCTTAATACAGTTGTCCTGGATGCCTGCTCTGTGAAAGGTCCAAACTGGGGGGTCAAGGAGGACCAAGGATGAGACCCCCTATAGGGGAAGGGGTTTGGGAAGGACAGGCTATGTAATTGTGGGGCCCAAAGTAAAATGAAAATGCAGGGCTCCTTGTTCAAAAATTAGGATAAAAAAAATTAGGATTTTCAAGATAGCAGGAGCAGGGCATTTAACCAAGTGTGGAGCCCTTCTGAGAGCAGGAACCTCTGGAACCATATAGGTCCTATGTCCCTTAGGCTTGTTCTGGGTAGAGTCAGCTCAGAAGCCAGATAGGGCTAAGGGTCCTGATGGAAATTCTGGGGTACTGATTTGTGCCTCTTTTTGTTTTCCTTCCTTCTTTTCTTTTCGTTTCCTCCCTCCCTCCTTCCTACTTCCTAATTTCAAAAGCCTTATCACTTTCAATGAAATAGTGTGTTCATCATCCATTATACTTGTCATTCCAGATATTTATAAATTAAACCAGTTTGTGTCACTTTTATGGCACTTGTAAATCCCATGGCAGCAGTGGCTAGAGTTAGAGTCCTGTCTACTAAGTCTGTGCCGTCTGGATGGCTGTGGGGGTGTTGTAGTCGGAAGGGGGGGCTCCTGGAAACACTCAGGCCAGGTTTTGAAGGGGTCTGCTGTCTGTGTGTCAGAATACACTGCAAAGTTCTAGAGGAGTGTACCTCCGAAGAGAACCACCCAGAAATGGCTTACCAGATCCAGAAGGCAGAGGTTTTACTCTCTCAACCTATTATCAGAAACTTGAATTCATTAGTGACTTGACTAGTTGGTTAGAGAAAATCTCAGAAAGGTAAAAAAAAAAAAAAAAAA